AATATTTTCTAATCGATTTCAGCCCCCTAGCACGACGTTTGTCACACTCAAATGTGACTATTTATTTTGACACCCCATTAGTGCTAATCTGTTATTGTACGTTAAGAAAAAATGTATCCGCCGCATAACTGACTGGCCATCATTATTGTAACGAAAAGGGGAATTATATTTTATAATTAATAATAATAACAGCTTTATTTCAAACAGTATTTGTGGTACAGGTATGGAATTTTCAGCGTGCATTACAATATTCCATCTAATTACCTCATAAATTTTATAAGATTTCAAAAACGAAAAGCAACAACAACGAAAAAATAGATAAATAAAAAGAAATAAAAAAAGAACAGCGTTGCATTCACACTTTAAACAATGCACCACAGGAATATCAAATATAAAATTACTGTGTGTAATAGAAGATGTGAACAACAATATAATAGTAACAAAGAAAGGAAAACAAAAACCAATGGGAAACTATTTGTTTGTTAGAGTGCCGCAGTAAGTTGATCGTGTCATACCTAACGGATTTCTCATCACATAATAACAGCTGTGCCATATAAGGTATTGTGGAGATTTTGTACTTGGTAGTCCTAGCATACAGCCTCCTATAGTTGCTTCTAGTTCTACCAGATGAAATGCAAGGAGACAGCTGCGTATAGAGAGGATGCTCAGGGTCTGACAATGTAGTATTCGCTAGTTTATTACATGACATTATATGTTTATCCACAATAGTATTAACCAGTTGGTTTAACGATATCCCACTTCCCCTAATAACAGCTTTTAGTGCCCTTCTCAGCCAAGCAAAATCTTTCTTAAGTAGTCCAGGAAAGATTATTGGGGAGCAGTAAAGAGGGATGGGTAGAATACAAGAATACATGACAAACTGAGAAAGCAAAGACTGCTTTATACCAGACTGCCTTAACTTCCTAACGTAGAACGTTAAGCGAAACATCTTTCTAGTAACTAGCAAGATATGAGAGGACCAGGAAAGATCGGAGGAAATACTCAGTCCAAGGTACTTGACATTAGATTTAGTTTCAACCCCCCTTATGCCGTCAATGATTGTAAGAACCTGAATAGGAGAAATTATTGAAAAGAATATTCTTCGTTCAGATTGACTTTTAATTCATGTGACACGGGGAATATTTCTCACGATCACACTCTCTGATAACCGACGAGAAAGAAAAAGAGGAAGAAATATCAAACATTACTGAAACTCTCAAGCAAAACAACTACTCATGGAACTTCATCAATAAGATCCACACAGACATTAAGTATGGCCAAAAACACATTCCGAAAACATGGACATCAACAGTCGTCATTCCATATAGAGCAGAGACGTCAGACGATATCAGAAGAGTACTCATTAAGCTCGACATTAGAGTTTTCTTCAAAGCAACCTTGTCCACATAAAAGACTAAATCCCTGAAGATTCTCTATCTGATTGTGTCTATAAAATCAAATGCTTCCTTGGAATGTGATGCGATATACATCGGACAAACATCTCGAGAAATCAAAATCAGAATAAATGGACACTGTAGAGTCGCATCTGTTCGACCACCGAGAAATCCCGTTGAACCACAAAAACTTGAAAAATCATCAGCCCTAGGTCGTCTACACACTATAGAATTAGGCCACAAAATTGATTTTGACAATATTGAAATCGTCATCCAGAAAAACTTCAGAAATCACAAAGAACGTCTCATATCATCAGAAGCACTTCATATCATCAAGTGGAATCCAAATTGTCTGAACTGAATAGGAATGATGGACTAAAACAGAATCTGACCTGGTTACAACACCCCGCCGCTCCCCCATCAAATGACAAAATCAACACGAATGTGATAAGCAAGTTCACTATGTAAACACACACTGCTTTTATAATTTTACACACCGATCAAATCCAACAATCTACACTTGATTTTGTTATCTTTACCAATTGACCAACTTGACAACTAAAATGACCCCAGACAGACGAACGATGATCAAGTTAGTAAACTTTATTTTGATATCAGAACAGATGTACTATTAACTTTGTTATTTGGTTTAGTGATCTTCATTGTTATGTTTTGACTTTCAATATGTCCCTTTAACTTGACCTAAGTAGTCTATTTTCTCACCCCCTAACTTTTTGTTATATATATATATATATATATATATATATATGCTGAGTGGAATTTGTAAATTCCGGTTTAATAACACTTTGATAAAGCTATTAGCATTAAACAGCGAAGCGCCAATAAGAAGAATTCTACAGACAACTGCAGGAAATAATGGATAATACTCCAGCTGGTGACATCAAAATACTAATGGGAGACATGAACGCCAAACTGGAATCAGATAACACAGGAAGGGAAATCATCATGGGTAGAGAAGCTCTCGGAGAAATGAATGAAAACGGAGAACTCTCCGCCGACTTCTGCGCCTTCAATGAACTAGTGATTGGTGGTAGCGTATACAAACACAAGGATATCCACAAGGCTACATGGGTGTCACCAGATGGGCGAACCAAAAACCAAATCGACTTCATCTCAATCTCAAGGAAGTGGAGGCGCAGCCTGCTGGACACAAAAGTAAGAAGAGGAGCAGACATTGGCTCGGACCACTATCTCGTACAAGGGACAATCCAAATCAAATTAAAAGCTTTCAGAGAATCAGGGGCTGCAGATAGACCACAAGCCAAGTTCAACACTCAAAAACTGAAGGAGCAGGACACAAAGGATATCTTCACTGCAAGTATAAAAGACAAAGCCGAGACACAAATCAACACTGGCGAAGAGGTCAGCGTCTAAAAGCACTGGAACAACTTGAAGACAGTGTGGAGTCAAACCTGCATGGAAGTTCTAGGCAGAGAGAAGGGACAGGACAAACATTGGCTCACTACGGACACTTGGAAACTAATAGAAGAGAGAGGGATGGTGAAACAAAAGATTCCCCAGTGCACCGATGAGCAACAAAAAGAGGATTTGAGTGCAAGTTACAAGACACTGAACAAAAGAGTAAAGAAGAGTGCCAGAGAAGACAAAAGAAAGTACTATGAAACCATGGCAAGTGAGGCAGAACAAGCTGCAGGCAAAGGAGACCTCGCAACACTCTACCAAACTACTAGATACCTATCGGGCAAACGTTTGACACAAATCAAGCCGGTGAAGGATGACAATGGAAAGTCACTCAAAGAAGAAGTGGAGCAAAGGAAAAACTGGAATGAACACTTCAAAAGACTCCTAAATCGACAACCACCGATAACGCGCCCAGCAATACCAACAACGGAGACAGAGCTACCAGTGAACACCAACCCCCCGACGAAATCAGAAGTCCTGAAGGCAATCAAGATGCTAAAAGTTGGAAAAGCAGCAGGACCAGATGGAATCCCAGCAGAAGCATTGAAAACGGACCCAGAGACAACACCGGACTTGATGATGCCACTACTGGAGAAGGTGTGGAAGGAGGGCAAGGTACTCGAGGATTGGAAGAAAGGCTACTTATTCAAACTGCCAAAGTAAGCAGTCTTAAGTCAGTGCAAGAACTGGCGCAGCATTATGCTCCTGTCCATCCCAAGAAAAATACTAAGCCACATCATCCTGGAGAGAATCAAACACGCCAACCTGGATGAAAAACTTCGACCGGAACAGTCTGGATTCAGGAGAAACAAGTCATGTATTGATCAGATCGCCACACTACGGATCATCATTGAACAAAGCTTGGAATGGCAGTCACTTATCTATCTCATTCAACTTCATCGACTTTGAAAAGGCCTTCGATAGCGCAGCGTCGATCGAGAGGTGATTTGGAAACAACTTCGCTACTACGGGGTGCCACCGACAATAATACATCTCATCCAACAGCTATACGACAATGCTGCATGACAAGTAATCCACAACGGGAATCTTACGGGATCCTTCGAAGTGAGGACAGGAGTAAGACAAGCTGGCTGCCTACTATCGCCAATGATTTTCCTGATTGCAATAGACTGGATAATGTGACAAACAGCGGGCAATGAGGAAACAGGCATAAAATGGACTCACACAAGAAAGAACTTGGAGGATCTGGACTTCGCCGATGATATATGTCTGTCTGGTTTCCCACAAACTGGAAGATATGGAAGCGAAAAGCAACAAGTTGGCAGAATAAGCATCCAGAGAAGATAGGACTTCAGGTGAACATAGATAAAACAGAGGTGATGAAGATTCCTGGGCAACACCACCGACAGCAACAACAACAACAGACAACGATCAGCCAGCATGAATTGGAGGAACCTGAAAGAAACAACCTCTTTTACTTACCTGGGAAGCATCGTTTCAACTACAGGCAAATGGAACTGACGAAGATATCAAAGCAGACGATCGGGAAAGCAAAACAAGCATTCATTACTCTCAAGTCTGTGTGGAGGTCAACAGCACTCAGCATCAAAAATAAGATCCAGATTTTCAACTCCAATGTGAAGTCAGTCAGTGCTACTATACGGATCAGAGACTTGGCCAGCGCATCATAAAAAGCACGTCAAACAAACTGCAGACCTTCATTAACAGTTTTCTTCGCTCAATACTCAATATCAGATGGCCGGCTGGCCAGAAAAGATCAGCAACAAGGATCTCCGGGAGCGAACCAACACAGCAGGAACCGATTGTGAAACAAATAGGCAGAAAGAAATGGAGATGGATTGGCCATACTCTGAGGAAACCATCAAGTGAGTGACATCACTAGACAAGCCATTGCTCGAGTGGAACCCGAAAGGGAAGCGGCTAGTTGGTCGTCCAAGGGTGACTTGGAGGAGTTCATGTGAATAGGAGATGATGAAAGCATGTGGGCAGACGTGGAGTCAGGTGAAAACGCTAGCAGAGAACCGAACACAATGGAGACGTGCGCGGCTGAAGAAGCCCTATGTTCTTCTAGGAACTAAAGGATACAATAATACTAATAATAATGAATTTCTCACATTATTATTAAATAAATCTAATCGATTTTTATACTTTTTTTGCTTTCCTCTCTCCATTTCTCTACAGATGAAATCAGCTCACTGTTGTCGATAATTTCGTCGTCATCGTCAGCAGATTAAGTAAGAATTTATTCTGCTGCATGTCAGTGTGTAACTAACACACACATGGTAGCCGTACAGAAAAACTACATCTACAAGCATCTACATACATCTACATATACATATATCTGAACAGGCGGGTTATATCTATTTATTTGTAATAAAAATTTCAACTGGGATGTGCGACGTGGGGCGGGGCGGCGCTAAATATAAACCGATAATCATACACACACCACTTTCCAGCTCTCTGTTTATCGTCTCTCCCTCTCTCCTTTTTTGTTTTAATTATCTTAGCCATATTTTTCTCTTGTGAGCCGATCATGTATCCCTTTAAACTGTGTGAATTACTTTTCGATTTTCCCGCCATCATCCCGTCATCCCATCCTTCATCTCTCTCTTTACATCGCATCTCTTGTTTTATGTATAACACTACTATAAGTGTGAGTGTGCGCGCGCGCATGAAGATGCCATTCTCCGTGGATTTGTTCACCATTGTCTCTACTTTCATGAGTTAGTTCGATTCTTTTCCATTTCTTTTCTATTTCTTTTTCTTTTCTGTTTTAATCAACCCCCCCCCACACTTGATTTGATTTGATTTGATTAGTGTCCATCTCAGGTGTGTGTGTGTGTGGATTGACAATTTTCGTTTTGCAGACTTCTCTTCTAATGTCATTTCTTTGAATGGCATCTTGCATTTACACATACTAACTTACTACAAGTACATATTAAAACAGAGGGTTTAGAGTAAACGATTGTTTGATACCACACCCCACCCCAACCCACCTCCGCACACACACACGCACATCCGACTAAGAAATCAATAAATGCACCAACGTAAAACAAACAGTACTCATTATATCTACACCAACAACCAAAATCTCTTTTATCTCCGTCTGTCTATTGTAGCTTACCTGTTACCTCAATGTTATGAAAACAAAAATTTGTTCAATAATAATATACTACTGGCTTCATTGTTATTAGTATAATTTATCTTATCAAATATATGTGTTCAATAATACAATAATATTCATAATATTTTCGATTAATTATCATTATTTATTATTATTGCACGTCTCCATTGCGTTCGGTTCTCTGCTAGCGTTTTCATCATCTGACTCCACGCGTCTGCCCACATACTTTCATCATCTCCTCTTCACATGACCTCCTCCAACAAGTTACTCTAGCTTATTTGTTGTACAATCGGTCCCTGCTATGGGTTGGTTGGTTGGTTCGGCCGGCCGGCCGGCCACCTGATCTTGAGCGAAGACAACTAGCTGTTGATGAAGGTCTGTAGTTTGTTTGACGTGCTCTTTATGACGCTGGCGCTGGCCAAGTCTCTGATCTATCCGTATAGTGAGTAGCACTGACTGACTTCACATTGGAGTTGAAAATCTGGATCTCATTTTCATTTTCATGCTAAATAGTACTGTTGACCACCTCCACACAGACTTGAGAGTAGTGAAGGCTTGCTTTGCTTTCCCGATCCTTGCTTTGATATCCTCATCAGTTCCGTCGGCTTGTAGTTGAAACGATGCTTCCCAGGTAAGTAAAGGAGGTTGTTTCTTTCAGGTTCCTCCCATATATGCAGGCTGATTTTTGTCTGTTGTTGCTGTTGGTGTTGGCCAGGAATCGTCATCACCTCTGTTTTCTCTATGTTCACCTGAAGGAAGTACTGTCTTCGCTGGATGCTTCTTCTGCCAACTTGTTGCCTTTCACTCGCCTATCTTCAGATAGATATCATCGGCGAAGTTCATATCCTCCAAGTTATTCTTGAGGGTCCATTTTATGCCTGCTTCCTCTCTGCTTTTCGCTGTCTGTCGTATTATCCAATCTACTGCAATCAGGAAAATCATTGGCGATAGTAGGCAGCCAGCCATCCAGCTTGTCTTACTCTCGTCTTCACTTTCAAAGGTTCCGTAAGTTTCCCGTTGTGGACTACTTGGAATGCACCATTGTCTTACAACTGTTGGATGAGATGTATTATTGTCGTCGGAACCCCTTGGTAGTAGCGAAGTAGTTTCCAAATCACCTCTCGATCGACGTTGCAGTATCGAAGGTCTTTTCAAAGTCGATGAAGTTGAGTGAGATAAAGAGGCAACTGGCATTCCAAGCAAGCTCTGTTCAATGATGATCCGTAATGTGGCGATCTGATCAATGCATGACTTGTTTCTCCTGAATCTAACCTGTTCCGGTCGAAGTTTTTCATCCAGGTTAGCGTGTATGATTCTCTCCAGGATGATGTGGCTCAGTATTTTGCTTGGGATGGACAGGAGCATAATTCCGCGCCATTTCTTGCATTGACTTAAGTCTGCTTTCTTTGGCAGTTTGAATAAGTGGCCTTACTATTTTCTATTTATTATTCGTTTCTCGCTTTCACAGGGGAACATAGGTCTTCAGTCTCATATCGTTATTGCACTTACGGATCATCGCTATCACTTTCAACTGGCTTTCACGATATCCCACAAAATTTTTCAAATTTCTCTTCACCCTATCGCCTAGTAAATTTTCGACGCTTCCCAATCGCCTACCATTGTAGGTAGAGTCTACTAGCGTGTAGTTTCAGTGTAGATGGAGGGTCTTCTCGGTGTATATATTCAATCTATCTTCGAATCATTCTGCGTATTTCTTGATTTCATAATAGGCTGCCAGCTGCCTCACTGCTTGCAAAGGGTTTCTTGTTGTTGCTTATATCGTCTTTCTCAACTCCTTACACTCACTCTGTCACAGTCAGGAGGATCATCGGTGCACAACAAGTGTAGTCTTGTCTCATTTCTGTCTTCACTTCGGAAAATTCTATGAGCTTCTTGTTGAGAAAGTATTTGAGATATCAGGACAGTTCTTTCGAAGTTGGGTGACTTTCTGATTACATACATACATTGGAATTTCTGACCACCCCGGACAACAATCTTATAATTCTAGTTGATATTTTCATTGGAGGCAATCAACAGGAAGCCTCCAACTATCTAATATCATCAAATCAATGTGTGCACCGTGATGGCGAGCTACCTAGTGGCATGATGGCCAAATTGCATACCTGAATTAATCACTGATAGAATTCAGTCTGCACCAAAAAACGACAGGAATAGACACGTTTTAATATATGTGTAAAACTTGGGCACTGTGGTAGTAGTCAGTAATTCCATATTAGTTTGTTTATTAGATATATCACACAGTGATGAAACAGTATTATTTACTGGATGACGTTTCGAACAAAATTTATTGTTCATAATCATTTCATTAATTGTAATCACACGACTTTGACACTTGAGTTTTATAGTTTTCTTTGTTCTCTCCTATTTGTCGTCGTCATTGGGGTAGTAGAATTTTCCAGATATCCGGGACAGGTGATGAATCCTTCTTATTACATGTATTTGCAGTTGATTCGATAAACAAAGCTTCTGTTATCAATCTCTCCCTATACCCTGTGACATTAGATTTTAAAACTGTCATCCTATCCCATCCTATTGTATGGTTGTGTGTAACTGCATGTAGTGCTACAGCTGAATTATTCTCTAGATTTCTTATCTTATTCGGGTCAACCAATCTAGATTTTGCTGCTAGGTGTTTATGTTCAGCTAGTCTGACTGCCCCTGCTCTACTAGTTTGACATAACAATAATAATGATAATGATAATAGTGATAATAATAATAATATTAATGACGACACCAATAATAAAGAATATAAATCATCAGTAGTAATTCCATACAAGGAAGGAACCTCGGAAGCCTTACGCAGAATTCTCAACAAGGCAGGAATAAAATCGGCATTCAAACCCACAAACTCAATTAGAAACAAGCTTTGTCGGTTAAAGGATCAATCCTGTGGAGCCCTTAAAACAAAACAATTTAGTTCATCGCATACCCTGGAATGACTGTCAGGTGAAATACATAGGTCAAACTAGTAGAACAGGGGCAGTGAAACTAGCTGAACATAAACACCTAGCAGCAAAATCTACATTGGTTGACCCGAATAAGATGAGAAATCTAGAGAATATTTCAGCTATAGCACTACATGCAGTTACACACAACCATACAATAGGATGGGATAGGATGACAGTTTTAAAATCTAATGTCACAGGGTATAGGGAGAGATTGATAACAGAAGCTTTGTTTATCGAATCAACTGCAAATACATGTAATAAGAAGGATTCATCACCTGTCCCGGATATCTGGAAAATTCTACTACCCCAATGACGACGACAAATAGGAGAGAACAAAGAAAACTATAAAACTCAAGTGTCAAAGTCGTGTGATTACAATTAATGAAATGATTATGAACAATAAATTTTGTTCGAAACGTCATCCAGTAAATAATACTGTTTCATCACTGTGTGATATATCTAATAAACAAACTAATATGGAATTACGTCACACTGGTTACTGACTAGTGGCCAATCAAAATACCCACTGCAGTCCTACAAGAGGTCAATCACGAGCCAGCCCGAATAGCTGCTCAATGGTGCTAACGTCTCTGACTGCAGTACTCCTCACTGGGTGACGCGGGTTCGAATCTCAGATGGTTGGGACATGAACTGTACCTTCAATTTGGTTGCAGGTGCGCCTTGCTGACTGACTGACCGGTGAGCGCCAACTACCATCACGAAACCTAGGTCCTGGCAAGGCTTCCAGTGGCTGATTGCCTCCAACTATCTTATAATTCAAGTTGAATATTTTCATCAAATTATGGTACCAAACAGACATCCTTATGGATTCTCTTTGTGAATTGTATTCATGGGCTGATCCATATTTGTAAGCATGCAGGTTGAATCATCTCCTTATCTTTTAGCCATAGGCATTACTATAGCGGTTTCTCCTCACACACACGTCGTACATTTTGCCTAGGATTTTCTGATTCAACTGCTAATTGTTGTTGGTGACACAGTGCTTAGGACTCTCGCCGACCATGTACATGGTTCGGGGTTCGATCCCCTCCCGACACATACCTGATATCTATGGTCGGCTTGCAAAATTCGGGCTACCGATATCACATGCTGAAAATTCCATGCCTGTACCGAAAAATACGGTGTGGAATCAAGCTGTAATCAAAAATAAAAATAATAATTTGCTTTATTCCAAAACAGTACTTGTGGTACAGAATGGAATTCTCAGCATTTCACTACAGTATTGCGCATCCAGTTTGTGTACATTAACAATAAATAAAATTCTACATAGATTAAGGGTAATTTCAGTTAGTTTTGACAACAACATATTAGCATATCGGCAGCAGCAAAGCCAAAAGTGAACAAAGTGTTTGAAGGTGTTAGAAAAGTAGATATACTAGCATATTTACTGGCGTAAGTGGTAACACAAAAAGGTCGAGATATACAGAGTGTGAAAGAACGAAGAAGAATGTTTTAAGTAAAGTTTGTAAGGAAGAGGGAAACAAAACAGCACATTACACAAAAAAGAGAGAGAAAAGGAAAAGAAAGAAAGAAAGGAAACGTTGTACCCATAAGTGATATGAGTTGGAAAGACGAGATCCAGTACATTTATTCTAATAAAATCAGTGTCACATAGTATCTTCTGTAGTAAATTCCTGTTAAAAATGATCCTGTAATCGGTAGTTTATTTGGTATGTGGCTTGTCTTCAAACAAATCCTAAGTAGAGTTTCCTCTGCAAAAAGAATGTGAACGTTCAGTAAAGTTCGTCGTATCTTTACCATGTTGACAACATTCGTCTAAATAATCGTCTTTCACATGTGTATTGACAAAGGTGAAATAATGCTAGTCACTCTAATGAGGGTGATTATTTAAACATTTTCAAAATAGTTTTTATATTGAATTTTAGAATTTCTCGTTCGTTGATTGATTGGACCTAAGTGCTCCTCGGTCTCAGGTTGACATGTCTGTCGGCTTCTTGTGCAGATGCTTCGATGATGTCTGGGTATGCAGTTAGAATTTAACTGGTCGATATCATCGAAGCATCTGCACAAGAAGCTAACAGGCGTGTCAACCTGAGACCGAGCACTTCGGTACAATCAATCGACGGGAAAAAATTAAAAAATCCTGGCTATCGACG